AAATTTTATTAATTTTAATGAACATTTACAGAGAGTTTGCGTTTTCATTCATTCATTGCTGCACTTTTATCTTTACCCCCTACTCCCAGTTCACTCCACTCTTTGAAAAGCAAAAGATAAACTTCTTCATTGGTATACAATTCCTCCCGCCCCCAATGCACTCCGCTATGCAACCTTAATTCTGGATTCCTGTGATAATCATAATGTGCTATCATATATCACTTTTAAACTGTTCTCTCCCTCTTCTGTTTCAATTCAGTATACATAATCTATCCAGTTTTTCTCAGTCTTACCCCAACCCTGATGTCAGTCACTTTCTTTTTAATCTTGGAGATAAGTAGACTATGTTTCTAGCACACAGAAGGACTCTGATTGACCCTAATGCTCTTGCTTCTTCGACCTCACCCAACTGCCTCTCAACAGCTGGGAGAAAGCCACTTGACTCCACTTTTTCCAGAGTTGTTGACTGGGTGCTTACACCCAAGTTAAAAAGGAGTGACAAAAGATTTTTCATTTGCTTAAATAGGTAGGCAGCTTAGCTTGCCCTCCCCTGTGAGTGAGGTGCACACAGCTCCCTTACTTGGAACTAACCCAGAATCATGTTTAAATTGCCTGACCAGGCTTCCACACCCATTACCTTAGCTATTTTAGAAGAAATCTTCATCTGGACTTGGAAATCACCACATTCCAGCCCTTCCTGCAAACCCTGCAGTCTTTCCCTTTCCAGGTGGATGCCTACGATGGACAGACAGGAAATAAATGCTTTCAGTGGCTGAAGAGGGTGACTACATTTTGTTGTACTGCTGGGTGCCTTTAACAAAGGCTAGAAGGAAAAGCTTTCTAATGGATGGCAAGCATCATAACTATTATCTGCTAAGTACATACCCAACACCACGCATAATACTCTGTAAAGAATTATTTCATGCATTACTCATAAAAATAATCTGAGATAGTCATTCCTGTTATTGTTCCTAATTTGCAATTGAGAAAGCTGAAGCTGAGAGAGAGAGAAAGCTCTGCTTGCCCGAAGGATAAGGAATTGTACTACCAAACCAAAGTCAAACAGTTCAAATCCAGCTGCTGCTTTGAGAGACAATCATGGGCTATCTCCTTTTGTGAAATTTACAGCCTCTGAAAATGTGCTTGATGGTCAGTTAAGAGTTAGTCCTGACTGGCTGGCATTGAGTGAGTGAGGTCATCTGCCCATCATCCTGCGATGAGCAGAAATGAAAGAATCAGAATTTGAACCCTGATCAGGCAATCACACTTTTTGCTCTAACACTTTTCTAATGTGAAACTTAAAATGTTAATGTTTGTTTGTTTCTAGCATTAGAGCAGACTCAGACACACAGAAAAACGTGGTAATTTGTTCTGCATACTGAAAAGAATGAAGATAGGCAAAGTAGGACTGAGATGGCAGTGAGCTGGGACCGAGTGCTCCTGACTTACAGAATCATACACATGTCCAAAGGAAGGTAATTCTTGGATTGCAGTGCAGCTTCTTGCCACTAGGCCACCAGAGTTCGCCTAGGCAGGTAGTTCTTAGAGAAAGATTAGTTGACTTAATTGGGGCCGGAAGCCTTGGTTGTCTATGTCAGCCAAAGACTGAGATTCTAAAACTCTGTATTTACAAATATTAGTAGTTAATCTTGTGTACATGTTGGAGAGTAGACAGAAGTACTGCTCTCCAAGCTGGATACATCCCAACACAGTAAGTTCCCTTGAGGAACTTTGAAAGTTACTCAACACCGCAATAATAGTGCAATTTTCTATGGAAGAAAAATCACGACAAAGGAAGTGTGCTTAACACATCCAGATGCTCAGCAATTGAAATAGGAGATTCTGAAAAGATGTATCTTTACAACTTTGCAGTGTTATTATCTCCATTTAAATAAAAACAAAATAAAAAGAAAACTAGAAACAAATACACTAAGGGGGGGAGTGATTTCAAGGACATGTTCTGTGATATAACTATTGTGGTTAGTTGCTGTGTTACATATTCTGATTCACGATGACTTCATGTGTGTAGAGCAGAAGTGCTCCAGAGAGTTTTTAAGGCCATGACCTTTCTGAAGAAGACCTTGCACCTGGCTTCCCTCCTCCCCCAACTCCTGCTCCATGTCTTCAGGGTACCTTTAAATTACCAGCCTTTGACTAGTTATCAAATGTTTAGTTGTTTGCATATCCAGGGATTTTGCAACATCTCGGGGTATTAGAACTCAGAAAGCACTGAATGAGGGAGAAGAGAAGAAGGATGAGAGAGACAGGATAAGAAGGAAGAGGGGTGAGGAAAGAGGAAGAAGAAGGAGAAGAAGGAGTAAATGGAGAAGAAGGAGAAGAAGAGGAGGAGGAGGAGGAGGAGGAAGAGGAGGAGGAGAAAAAGATGTAGTAATAGATGTTGGAGAGGATGTGGCGAGAAAGGAACTCTTCTACATTGTTGGTGGGATTGTAAAATGGTGCAACCACTCTGGAAGGCAGTTTGGTGCTTCCTCAAAAAGCTGAACATAGAAATTCCATATGACCCAGCTATTACGCTACTTGGAATATACCCTGAGAATCTGAGAACTGAGGTACAAACAGATTTGTACATCAATGTTCATAGCAGCATTATTCACCATGACAAGAACTTGGAAACAACCCAAATGTCCAACCACAAATGAATGGATTGAGAAATTATGGTACATTCACACAATGGTTACTATGCAACATGTAGGAGCAATAACTTTGTAAATTATTACCTAACTTGGGAGGGACTGGAGAGCATTATGCTGAGTGAACTAATTCAGTCTTACAAGGATAAATATTGCATAAAACCATTATTGTAGAATAAGTATAAGTATGCAGGAGGGGTGGGAGAGGTTGGAAGCCGAGAGATGTGGATATGCAGGGGAAGAGGAGGATTAATTACTGGGTTGTATAATTGGATGGGAGGTGTGTGAAAGAAATGGAAAGAATGTGTTAAAAAAAAGAAGAAAAATAAGGAAGTGAGGTAGGGAAGGAAGGAGAGAGAAAGAGGGAGAGAGAGATGAGGAGAGAGAGAGAGAGAGGGAGAGAGAGAAAGAAATTCTTAGAGCAGAAGGAAAAGAGAGACAATATATATGTATACACAGTATAAATCGAGAGCATAAACCATATAGAGAACCTTGAATTCATTTCTAGGTTTACCATTTTGCTTTCACCTTTTATGCAGAATAGACCAATTGTTGAGCTAGCAGCTGCCTGGCGGATGGTGGGCAGGGTGTCACAGGAGTGTGGAGCTAGGAGTCCCAGGAGAGAGCCAATTTTTAAGTTCTTTGGCGCCTGCAGGATAAAGGAAGTAGCCCATTGAGAGTGGTAACTTGATGTTATTCCAAGGTATTACTAACACCAGTTGCTAAATGCTTATTTTCTTCTTGCAGGTCCTTAAAATGAAATGTAATTGTAAACTTTCCTCTAAAAAGTCCTGACTAATGCAGAGCAATGGAAATGGAAGCAAGCCAGCCGGCCCAACCAAATGGCTTAATTTTGGAGTGTGTGCCCTACTCTACCAGGAGACACTTCTTGGGGTCCTGGGAAAGGTGTTCCATTCAAGGAGTGGAGGTCTGTTTCCCAGAGGTTGGGGCCTCACCAGAGGCCTCAGAGAATCAGATCCAAACAATAGAGTCTCCTCATTTGATGAGCTACTTACCTCAACTTCATTTTCCAGCACCTTTGCCATGATCTGAAAGGCTCTTTCTCTTTCCCATTCTCTTTGTGAAACAAGCCACATTCGGAGAAGCTGTTGGTAAAAAAGGACAGATACCCTTTCTTTGGCATTCTTTATAGGCCTTTATTCACCCTTCTCTCACTCTTCCTCTTTCTCTGCCTCTTCTTTACAGAGTGCTCACCACCCCACAAACACTGTTTATGTGGTCTAGCCTCCTGTGATGGGTTAAGGGAGTTGTATAGCAAGTGTCCCAGAGAAAAGAAGGAGGCCAGGTTTGTGGGGGTACACTGGAGGTCAGAGTAGGGGATATGAGAACTGGTTTGTGGGTTGGCCCTTCCTTCTCACGTTGAACATTTCTTGGCATTCCTCCTCAGTTCCATTATTCCATATCATGGTCTTCAGAAGCTTGCCCAGAGCATCCATGGAGCGTTCATAGAGGAACTGAAAGCAAATGTGAATGTGTGAGATTCAGTCTGTGAGAGTGGAGTCCCATCACAGTCTTTGATGGCGTAGTCAGGTTTCACCCCAACCTACTTTAATGTGTTCCTTGTCCTTATCTGTCTCGCCCTCATTTTTTAGTTTTTCTAGAGGTGGAAGGGGCAGCAGCCTCCGGATGTTCTCTTCAAGAATATTGAGATTATCTTTTAGAGAGAGCTGAGGTTTCAGCATGCTGAAACGAGAACCATATAAAGGAGTGGGTGTTATGATGACACACAGCCCATAACTGAGAAGAAAGACCAACAATCGTCAATGGATCCTGTAGGGCTTAGACACAGTTTGCCTTTTTTTTTTTATGTTGAAATGTTGTGGGAGTGGTTGGGGGCATAGGATCAAACTACTTTGCGGGGATTAGTCAAAATGCCTCAGGTCGTGACTATTACTGTGATATATAAATAACTCAATTTCTCTAAGATGCTTCGAAGAAGGATAGACAACCTCCTGTGTGATTTACTGCCTCTGAGAACCTGATTGAAGGTTAGCTATGGGTCTGTTTGTCCCCGAGAACAAACAATAACACTTTATTAGTGAGTTCTAGAAGCCCAGTGGTCAGACAGCTGTGTTACCAACACAAAAGAGTGTGGCTTGAATCCATCAGCTGCTCTACAGGAGAAAAATGGGCGATCTCCTCCTGTGTGATCTAGAGCCTCTGAAAACCTGCTGGCAAATCCTCTATGAGTTGCTTCTGACTTGACAGGAACTAGTTTTTTTTATTTTTTAATTTTTTTTTAGTTTCAAACATTATTACATGGTCTGTGATTATAGTAACCTACATATATTTCTCCTGTAAGATTCCCTCAACCAGATTCTAAGTTTGGGGAAAGAAAGTTTCTGTCTTGGAAGAAGTATAGTCAGGGAGTGAATCAGAGGTAAGAATGGTGAGACTTCAGATTTGGGGTGTGTTATCAAGAGGGGCAAACTTCTGCAAAAACATCAAGTTGGAAAATTAGAGGGCAATGAAAAGTAGAAGATCAACACAGTGCCCGCAGCAAGGAGCTCAATAACAGCAACAGATGTGAAGATGGTAAAGGATCAGCCAGTGTTTTCCTCTGTTGTACATAGTGTTACTATGAGTGTTGTTGTCCTGTGCCATTTAGTCAAGTATGACACATAGCAAGCCTATGAACAACAGACCCGAACCCTATCTTGAACCTTGCTTTCTCGTTCTCAGGTGACGTAGAAGGCACCAACACCACAGGGACAGGAGATAAAATTATATTGCAGTAACAAACACACAAGGCCAAAGCCTCAAATGCCATTTCTATCCACTTCCTAAACAACGTGCCTCTGGAAACTCTATGAACTTCGACGATAGTTATAGAAATGCTTCAGGCCTTCTATTCATAGGGTTGCTATGAGTTGTGCTCGACTCGACCACAATCGGCAACAACAAAAACAACCACCTCATTGCACACCTTTCTATTACATTATGTTGTTGTTAGGTACTGTCAAGTTCCACTCACAGTGAGCCTGTGAACAGCAGATCTGAGCTCTGTCCTATCCTGAACTGGTTTTACCATCTCTGACACTCTTGAGCCCATTGCTGAAGTCACTGTGTCAATCCATCTGGCTGAAGGTCTTCCTCTCTTTTGCTGACCCTCCTCCAATTCCAAGTGTGATGTCCCTCTCCAATGAAGAGCCTCTCCTAGCAACATGCCCAAAGTAGATGAGACAAAACTTATATATCTTTGTCTCTAAGAAACACTCTGGCTTCATCTTCTCCAAGATATATCTTGGAGAAGCTATGTCTGCTATTTTGGCAGTCTATAGGATATTCTATACTCTCCTCCAACATTGTAGCTCAAAGTCATCAATTCTTCTTCTATCAATCTTACTCATTGTTCAGCTCTCAGATGCATTGGAAGTGATAAGAAAGACCATGGCCTGAATCAGACACATGCTAGTCCTCACACCAGTATGATTACTCCTCAATAATTTGGAGAGGCCCCTAATTGCATACTTTCCAAGTGCACTACGTCTTCTGATTTCATGACTGTTGGTGTTAAGGGTGTTACTTGTGGATCCTAGTAAGATGAAGTCTTTTACAGTTTCAATCTTTTCTCCACCTGTCATAATGTTGCCTAGAGTGATGACAATTATTGTATTTTTGACATGCAATCCATATCGAAGGCTATATTCTTTGATTTTCTGAAGCAAGCACTTAAAATTCTTCTCACTTTGAGCAAGCAAGGGTATGTTATCTGCATAACGTTGCTGTTGTTATGTGCCATCGAGTCGCTTGTGACTCATAGAGACCCTATGTACAACAGCCCTAAACCCTGCTCTATCCTGTGCCAATCTCACTGCCTCTGACACATCCATCCCGATTACCCCAGTCACTGAATCAATCCACCTCATAGAGGGTCTTCCCCTCCTGCGCTGTCCCTCCACCTTCCGAAGCATGATGTCCCTCTCCAAGGACCAGTCCCTCCTTACAACATGTCCAAAGTATGCCAGATGAAGCCCCAGAATCCTTGCCTCCAAGGAGCAGCCTGGTCTAAGCCTCACAAGGATGAATCTGTTTGTTTTCTTGGCAGTCCATGGTGTCACATTCTTCTTCAGAGAGTCCAGAGTCTCAATTAATTTGCTCTGCATGTATATTGAATAGGAATGAAGAGAAGACAAAGCCTGACAGACACCTTTTTAAGTTTTAAGACATCTAGTTTTGTTTCCTTGCTCTATTCACACAATAGCCTTTTGGTCTAGGTATAGTTTTTTCACATGGGCATAATCAAGTGTTCTGGAAGTCACATTCCTCTCAATGTTAATGATAATTTGTTATGATCCACACAGTCAAATGCCTTTGATAGTCAATAAAATACAAATAGACTTTGTTCTGATACTCTCCCCCCTCCCCAGTGATGATCCATCTGACATCTGTAATGATATCCCTGGTGCCATAGCCTCTTTTACATCCAACTTGAACTTCTGTCAGTTCTCTATGTACTGGTGTAGCCATTTCTGAATGAACTTTTGCTTGCATGTGAAATTAATGCTGTTGTTTGTTGTTGTTATATGCCATTGAGTCGCTTGCTACTCATAGCGACCCTATGTACTATTGTTTGATAATTTCCATATTCTATTGGATCGCCTTTCTTGGGAATGGAAAGAAATATGGATCTCATTCAGTCAGCCAGCCAGGCAGCTCTCTTCCAAATTTTTTGGCAGAGCCTGGTGAACATACCCAGGTCTGCATCTGTTAGTTGAAACATATCAGTTGATATCCCATTGATTCTTAAGGCCTTATTTTTTGCCAGTGTTTTTACTGCAACTTGAACTTACTCCTTCATTACTTCTGGTTCTTGAATAGTACTTCCTGAAATATTTCAGGGTCAGCCAATTCTTTTCGGTACAGTGATTCTGTTTATTCCCTCCATCTTTTCATGCTTCCTGGATCATTCAAGATTTTTCTCACAGAATCTCTCAATATTAAAATTTAAGACTTGAATTTGTTTTTCAGGGTTTTTTTTACTTTTTTTAAAATTTTTAAATTTTTTTCAGGTTTTTTTTAAACTTGGTAAATGCTGAGTGATTTCTTCCCTTTTTGTTCTCCAATTCCAATTCTTTTTGCATGCTGTTAATTTCTTCCCTTTGTCTTCTTGAAGTGCTCTTGAAATCTTCCATTTATCTCTTTTTTTCAGCATCTTTTCTCTTTATTTGAGGAAGACCCTTGATGAAATGGATTGATTCAGTGGGGTAATGGGAATGGTTGTGGCAGAGACAATGGGGTTGGCACAGGATAGAGCAGGGTTTAGAGATCTTGTACATTGGGTCGCTATGAGTCGCAAATGATTCGATGGCACATAACAACTTAACATTCTAGTGCGATTTTCAGTTTCTTCTGATGACCATTTCCCCCCCTCTGTCTTTGTAATGACTTTTTGTTCTGTTCTTGGATGATATCCTTGATGTTGTCCCACAACTCACCTGGTCTTTAATCATTAGTTCAATGCCTCAATGCTTTGATTATGCCTTTGTGTAATCAATGAAACAAAGATAGACATTCTTCTGGTACTCCTTGCTTTCAGCCAAGATCCATCTAACATTAGCTACAATATCCCTAGTACCACAGCCCCATGTATACCTAGCCTGTACTTCTGGTTGTTCTCTGTGGATGTGCTGTTCCAATCATTTTTGGATAATCTTCAGCAGAATCTTGCTTGCATGTGATATTAATGATATTGTTGATAATTTCCACACTTTGTGGGATCACCTTTCTTTGGAATGGGAACAAATATATATCTCTTCCAGTTAGTTGGCCAAGTGGTTGTTCTCCAGGAATTGATGGTATACCAACTGACATATTTCAGCTAACAGATGCTGCCTTAGATGTGCTCACATGTA